AACAATCACACCTAAAATTAAAACTAAAACAAGCTAAGCAAACAACTAGAACAGGAACAGAACCACAAAAATGGAGATCACATGGAGGGTTAGCAACAGGGGAGTGGGAGGAGGAGAGAGGGGGAAAAGGTACAGAGAGTAAGTAGCATACATGGTAGGTGGAAAATAGATGGGGGGAGGGCAAGAGTAGTGTGGGAAATGGAGAAGCTAAAGAACTTATGACACATGGACATGAACTAAAGGGGGGGAATGTGGGTGATAGAGGGTGTGCAGGGTGGAAGGGAATGAAATGGGGGGAAATGGGACAACTGTAATGGCATAATCAATAAAATATATTTAAAAATAAATAAATAGCCGTGGCTGGTGTAGCTAAGTGGATTGAGCGTCGGCCTGTGAATCAAAGGATCGCGGTTCGATTCCCAGTCAGGGCACACACCTGGGTTGCAGGCCAGTTCCCATCAGGGGACACACGAGAGGCAAACATACATTGGTATTTCTCTCCCTCTCTCCTTCACTTCCCCTCTAAAGATAAATAAATAAAATCTTTAAAAATAAATGAATGAATGAATGAATGAATGAATAAAAACAAGCAGCTAAAACTTGCTCCTTCAACAGACTGTAACCAAAAAAGACAATACTGCTCTAGAGCACAAAAAATACATTGATAAGCTGGTCCACAAAGAAAAAATAAGGGAAAAAATATCAATTCCGAGACCCTAGAGTCCAAGGCTGCACCTGGAGATGTCCAGAAACCATCTGTCCTGGGTGCTCAGCAGCAGAGGTAAACAGGGTCCACAGCCTCCAGCAGGCATCCCAGGAGAGCACACTGGCAGTCTTCTGGGCTTATGGGAAACATGCAACAGGCACGCTGCCCGCCTCTCCCACCTCCCCTACCAGTCACATGGAGGATCAAGGAACTGATAAAGAATAGGACACAGTTCCCTGGCTGGGTAGCTCAGTTGGTTAGAGCATCATCCCAATGTGCCAATGTTGCGAGGTTGATCCCTGGTCAGGGCACATATAAGAACCACCAGGAGGGCATAAATAAGTGAAACAACAAATTAATCTCTCTGTCTCCCTCTCTCCCTTCCTCTTTCTCCCTAAAAGCAATATTTTTTTCAAGTTTTATTTTAAAGTTTAAAGTTTAAAGTTTTAAAGTTTAAAGGAATAGAAGACAAATCAGCCCAAAGTATCTGAGATTAAGTCTCTCCCTACCTAGGAAAAACCATTACTCATGCATTCATTCACTTGGTCTTTCCCAAGAGACACTGAGTATTTCCTTAATGTCAAGACTATGAGGCCAGGAGCTGGGCAGACCTGACAAATGATGGTGTTTGGAGACCCTCACAGTCTAGTAAAGGAGACAAACGTGGAAGCAGATGATTACCCCAAAGCACAGATCTGTCAGACCACAACTGGGACAACCAAGGGGAACCAAGGATGGAATGAAAACCCTGCCTCATGTTACCAACAGTGTGCCAAAGCCCTTCTAAAAGAGTTTCTACTGCTTGACCACAGATTTTAATTCTATGAGAACTGAGCCTAAAAAAATATTTTCTAAATTATCAAAGATTTATACACAGGGACTCCCGCCAAGATGGAGGTGTAGGTGGACCCACCTTGCTTCCGTGCACAACCAAATCTAAGAACAACTATTTTTCACAACGATAAACACAACAAGACCACACAGAAAATCGACAATATGGAGTCCGAAAAAAGGACGAAATGCTCGGCTAAATAGGTAAGCCAGCAGCGAAGCTGGTTGACCAAAAAGATCCCTGACCTGGTGGCACGCAAGCAGCCAAATGCGCAGACTGTGGGCTAGCTACGGGCCCACACAGGGAAGAGGCAGGGCTGGCTGTCTGCGGTCAGTAGAGCATTTGCATGCAGATAAACCAGTGAAGAGGGGAGCATTGAGACCCCACGGCGCGGGGCAGCAGGCTCGCACAATTCTGCTTGGATAAACAGGCTGGGGCGAGTGGTGGGACGGGACAAACTGGGCTAGGGAGAGGACCACCATTGCTCCCTCTCTGACCCCGCCCCCACACACAGCATCACAAACCAGTGACCTGGGTGGCCCCACCCTGGTAAACAACTAAGGCTTCGCCCCTCTTACTTACTTACTGGCACGAACAGACCAAAAATGGCTCAAGAACAACTCAGAGCCCCAGAACCGATAAATCTAAGTGATGAGGAAATAGCAAAACTTTCAGATGCACAGTTCAAAACACTGGTTATCAGGATCCTCACAGAACTGGTTGATTTTAGTCACAAATTAGAGAAACATATGAAAGCTAAACTAATTGAAATGAATGGTAATGCAAAGGATACCAATAGTAATGGAAAGGAGTCTGGGACTCAAATCAATGGAGCAGACCAGAAGAAAGCAAATAATGGCCAAACAGAAAAGAATGAAGAAACAAGAATTCAAAAAAATGAGGAGAGGCTTAGGAACCTCCAGAACATCTTTAAACGTTCCAACATTCGAATTATAGGGGTACCAGAAGGGGAAGAGTCATGAGTGGAAACCTTATTTGAACAAATAATAAAAGAGAACTTCCCCATTCTGGCAGAGGGGAAATAGACTTCCAGGAAATCCAGGAAGCTCAGAGAGTCCCAAAGAAGTTGGACCCAAGAAGAAACACACCGAGGCACATCATCATTACATTAGCCAAGATGAAAATGAAGGAGAGAATCCTAGAAGCAGCAAGAGATAAGGGGACACTCACCTACAAAGGAGTTCCCATCAGACTGTCAGCTGATTTCTCAAAAGAGACCTTACAGGCAAGAAGGGGCTGGAAAGAGGTATTCCAAGTCATGAAAACCAAAGACCTACATCCAAGATTGCTCTAGCCAGCAAAGTTTTCATTTAGTATGGAAGGGCAGATAAAGTGCTTCTGAGATAAGACCAAATTCAAGGAGTTCATCATCACCAAGCCCTTATTATATGAAATGTTAAAGGGATTTACCTAAGAAAAAGAAGATAAAAAAGTTGGACAGTGAAAGGACAGCAAACTCACAGTTATCAACAACCACACCTAAAACAAAAGCAAATTAAGAGGACAGCTGGATCAGGAGTGAACCATAGAAATGAAGATCACATGGAGGGTTAGCAACAGGGGAGTGAGAGAAGGAGAAGGGGGAGAAGGTACAGAAAATAAGTAGCATAGACAGTAGATAGAAAATAGATAGGGGGAGGGTAAGAATAGTAGGGGAAATACAGAATCTAAAGAATTTGAGACACGTGTTCATGAACTAAAGGGGGAAATGGTGGGGGAGGGGCATGCAGGGTGGAGGGGGGGAATAGAACAAATGTAATGGCATAATCAATTAAAAAGTTTAAAAAAAAGATTTATACACAGGGAGGTTCACCACATTGTTGTTTATGATTGGAAAAAATAGCACTCAATTGTTGGGAAAATGCTCTGCCTGGTTTCAGGAGTTGTAATCGCCCCCCATGGCTAAGGCTGAGTGAGCAACCTCCAGAATGCGAGCCACTAAGGAGACAAAGCTTATCTCTGGCAGCTGTGCTGCTTTTGCTTCATTCCCTGCCCCCAACACTTGGTCAGTTAGTCTATGATGGGTATGACCCCCTCAGAAAGGGGGGCAACCTAAGCCAGACACGATCACTTGGGAGGCCATCATGGAAGGACTCAGGGGGCTGCAACAAAGAGGGAGCGATGGACCCTCACCCCCCAGCTATTCTGACATAGCCCAAGTCCCCATGTTCTCTGGGAGAAGCACATCCTGGCTCTAATCCACTTAAGTTTGAAAACTTATGATGGGGAAGGTGGTGCAGCTCTTTGCCGCCTAGAGTAGGTTCCAGGTGATCAGGCCTAAGAAAGAACATGTAAAATCCTATGAAACCTGCTTTGTTTAGAATACTCTCATTTAAATGATAAGGGTCCAAGCAAGAAGTTTATTCCTCAAAGTTTTATGGCTCTTTAGCTATCTGACCCTGACTGAGAATAAGCCCTCAGTCTTTGAATGCTATCTATTGTTTGATCCTTACCTGTATTCTTGTGCAAACAAACCCAATAAAAGCCCCTTGAGGAAGGGGCTCCTGGCCCTTGTCCTGTGAGGGATCAGCCACCTTTCCTTCCCAAGCAGATCATGTCTTGGTAGTTTCACTTTCATCCGTGGTGGATGGGGGGACTTTGAGGGCAAAGTTGCCCCCACACTCAACCTCTAAGTTCAAATACAGACATTTGTTTATAGTAGATCCACATAACAAAACATGGTGTGAACACAGGAACAGTAGGGTCAGTAAACTAGGAAATGGTGTGGGAAGGAAGAGACTGAACAGTGGAGGGAAGACCTTTCACTGTGTATATGGAAGGCCTTTGTACCTTCCAAATGTTGCACCGAGCACAAACAATTTCCCACAACAATAAAGTTTGAAATATATTTTTGTTGGAAAATGCTAAAGACAGTTATAAAACAGAAATAAAGGTAAAATCCTACTTTGATAAAACATATATATGTAGATGTATTTATCTGTGTAGAAAATAATGCACAAAGATATAAACCAAAATATTTTTAATGTTATTTCTCTTTTTAAGATTTTGTCTATTTAGTTTTAGAGAGAGGGTAAGGGAGGGGGAAAGAGAGGGAGAGAAACACTGATGTGTGAAGGAAACATCAACCAGCTGCCTCCCGCAGATGCCCTGACCAGGGACCAAACCCACAACCCAGGCATGAGCCACACTAGTCAGGGCTGTACATCAAAATATTAGCAGTGGTTCCCTTTGATTGATAGGATTTGGGTGATCTTATTTATTTGAAAATATTTCCTCAGTAACATAAAATAAGCGTCCAAAATATAAAGGAAAAAAATAACACAACCTTTTAAAAAATAAACATGACACCTGGTGTCCAGGAAAATTAAAGCCCCAGAGCAGCCCTGCTGTGCTCCTCTCCTGCTGCACTCCAGAGGGTGTGCTGTCGGTGGGGGACTCACCCATGGGCTCTGCATCTTCAACCCTGCTCTTAGCACTAACCTTCAGGAGCTTGAAGTGAGAAGCAGGAACAATGAAGTGTCTATTTTGCTTCTTCTTGCAAACACTGCAGCTACAGAAAGACAGAGCAAGTCCCAGGTTGTGAACAGCCATCTGTACCCTCTGAGTGCCTGACGGGCCCAACCTGATTGGCTTTAAGAGCCTGCTGACCCCAGAAGTGAAGCTCCTTTCAACACTATTCAGGGAAGGGGGAGCTCAGGCAGATGCACAGGCCACCTGGGGTCTCTGCCCACAGGTCTCACAGCCAGCAGTTGAGACCATGCAACCTGGGAAAACCAGAGCCAAGAGAGCCACATTTCTGCCAGGCCCACCCCACCCCCCAACCCCATCCTGCCTGCCCCTGGCTCATTACAGTGAAGGGACCCACTGCATTCTAAGGACACCTATATCCGGCACGGCACAGTCTAACACCTCTGGGACAGCCACACACAGGTGGACAGGGAAGGCTGTCTCCCTCTCTCCTCATCCACGCAGCACAGAGAGCCTAGCTCCAAGGAAAATAGGTCCTCAGGATCACCATCTTTGGAATTCAATCTAAGCCACATCTTTTCAGTCTGCCTTCAAAAAAATTCTAACTTAGTACAGAATCCTCTATCTAGAGGATCCTATAATCCCCTAGTATAGAATCCATGGTGCTGTCCTGGCTAGTATGGCTCAGTTGGGCATCATCCCACAAACTAAAAGGTTGCGAGTTCAATTCCCAGTCAGGGTACATGCCTAGGCTGCCAGTTTGGTCCCTGGTCAAAGCACATATAAGAGGAAACTGAGCAATGTTTCTCTCTCACATTAATGTTTCTCTTCCTCCCCCTCTTTCTAGAATAAATAAAAAAAAAAAAGAATCCATGGTGCTTCTCCAATCTGGACTCCACTCTTAGTAGCCTGGTCAGTTCCCCATTTGAGTAATTCCATGATGTATTTTTCATATATAATTCAGGTGCCAGCCAGGGGCAAGGGGTACAGAAGCCAGAGCCCATAGTCCTGGTTCTGTCACAATGCCAGGGAAGGTGCTAAAAAGCCAGCCCCCCTTTCCCTCAAGCCTGGAAGTGCTGTTTGCCTCACCTGAAGGACGGTGAGAGGGCCTGGAGAACGTTGAGCTCCAGGTGCATACACCCACTCATTTACCGCCCTTATCCCCCCAACACTGAAGACTCTGCCCAAGGAATTTCACTCAGTGCCCAAACTGACTGACTTCCAGCTAACCACTCCCTCGCCCACCAATAGAACTGTCTGGGGGTGACTCTCCCTGGCACAAGCCACAGGACCCTGCTCTGTGTCACCTGGGGCTGTACTATAGGAATGAGCTCTCTCCCCACCTCTTTCATGTACACACACAACAGACTCAGTTATTCTTAGCCTCCATCTTTTAAAAAAATGTTATTATTAAAAACTACTATATACTACAGGAGAAAGAATAAAACAATGAGCCCTTACATACCCATCACCTGACCCCAACAATTACCAGCTGTATGTTGATTCATCTATACCCCAATCTCCCAGCTGATGTTGAAGTACCACATTCTAAGTCAGAAGTCCTTTTCAACTAGATTGGGAAGAGAAAACACTCACTTGCAGTCAAAGATGTGTAAGTCTGCCGAGGCCCAGACTTCAAAGCGAACTGCTCCACAGTGGCAGCCTCCCGTGTGTTTCACCAGGCCCTGGTACTCACTACATAAAACAGAACATCAAGAGGGTAAGAATTCCTGAAGACTCCAGCAGGTCCCCACTACGCAGCACGTGCTTCTTCTCTCTTCTGTTGTGGAAAGAAAGCAGCAAGATGGACAAAACTCTTCTCTACATGACAACAGATGCCCCTGCTTTTGAGGAGGAACTGTGTGTGAATTTATAAAAGAAAGGTCTCGGTGCCTTCTTTGTCCATGAGCTCTTGGCTTGTCTAAGAACTCTTACGAGTTCCATGCCTTACATGTTAAATGGCAAAAGAAAGCACTCCAAAAATTTTGGACAAGGCAGGGTGGGAGGAGTGGTGGGAATTCTAATCCCACCACTCAAACATTTTTTATTTATATGTCAAATATTTACTAAAACTTTTTTTTTTATTTGCTAAAACTTTTTACGAACCAAGTGAACTGCACTGAAAAAAGTAGTAACTGAGATACAGCAGGCATGGTTCCTGGCCTTATGGGCCTTAGGTAGCCATCAAACAAATAAGCCAAATAATATTCAAATAATTGTGATAAAGGTGGTCAGGCCAACTATGAAAGAGAAAGACACAGGGACCCTACCAAGTCTGAGGGTTCAAACAAAAGCCTTCTGAGAAAGTTACAACAGCCCTTATAATTTTGCTATATACCCCTCCAGTATTTTACATATACATAACTTTTTACAGAGGTATACATACACATTACATACAACTTTAATCCTTTTAAAACTTACTATATATAATCAAGCCCTTAATTGAATAGGATTAAGATTTGATAAATATCACCAAAATGCTTTCCAAAATGGCTAGACACTCTTATCAGTCATCAATGAAAAAGCACTTCACTGTACCTTGCAAGCAATAATTATAGGAAAAACAGCTTGCTGTAGTTTTAATCTGTAACTATTTGGTTATTAAGACTACATGGGGGGACGGATAAAAAGGTGAAGAGGAATAAGAGGTACAAACTTCCAGTTATAAGTCACAGGGATTTACTAAGGTGCAGTACAGGGAATACAGCCCGTAAGAACACACTAACCCTGTGTGGTCACAAAGTTACTGGACTTGTGGTGATCGTGTCATAAGGCGTTATAAAGCGTTATAACATGAAATCACTATGTTGTACACCTGAAACTAAGATAGCATTGTATATCAGCTATAATCTTTAAAAAAATTTAAAGACTGAATGCTTTATCATGTGTCTCTACAAGCTGAATCAGTTAATTTGATGTAATTTTTTTCTGCATATACAATTAATGCTTCCTTGTAAAAACTTAAAATGTTACAGCATTTGGTGACATTAAAAATTAGTCTCCTATAACCCTAACACCCGTAGGAATCCAGTCAACTATTTTGCTACATAGTCTTCCAGACTTTTTTTTCATACACTATTTTAACAAAAACAGTGCAGAATTATACATTCCTTTTGCACATAAGTTAATATGGTGAGTTTCGGTTTTTTACAGGTAAAAAAAATATTCAATTTATAGTCCAAAGTGATAAAAAGTGAGGTACACAAAAATCCAAATAGTGTGTCTCTGAGGGGCAATTCTCACTAAGAGAATTTCTTCTGGAACAAAGACAGGGAACATTTTTATTCAATTGGTAATCTTCAGGTTGTTAGGCAATTGTTAGGTTGTTCTTGTTTCTTCTAGGGTTTCCATTGTTCTTTCCGATTCATAAAATAATCAACAATGGGAGATATTATTAGGGAGCTAAAATATTTCTCTGTAGCACAGCTGTTCTCCAGAGCAGGGATCTATATGCTACCACATTTGGAGAAAACAAGGCCGATCTTGCCAAAGGGAACATTAATAGCCCCTTCCTAACATCATGGACAGACACTCTGTAACCCTCCTTTGGCCACATAAGGAGCTGGGGTTTTTCTCCTGCAGTATCAAAGCTGTGGGAGCGCAGGGAGAGTGCGCCGCCCAGGAGCATCTGCGGCGGAAAACAGAGAGGCTCCCCCATCTTGGGGACCCGCATCGCGCTCCTGGATCCCAGCACCTCTTTGTGCGCGCTCTAATCTGGGATGCAGCAACCCCTCCCCGCCGCCCTGCTCCCTCCCAGCGAGCGCGCGGAACAAAAACGGGATTTCGCATCCTAGTTGATTCAAAACTTCTATTTAGCTTTTCTCATCCCCATACCTTGTCCCTCCCACCCCTTCCAAAAACACCAGCGTAAATATAAAAAGCAACTCGGGTATGAGGAAAGACGTGGCATTTGTCTTCTTTTCACTGGGAAAGACCCGAGCACCCTTTGCCCACCAAGGCAAGAGAAGCGATGGCTGTCCCAGGAAACAACCTTCGTGTCCCAGGGCGCCGTTGAGTCCCTCTATAAGATCCAAGGCGGCGCCCCAACCTTTCTCGAGGAGAAGCCCCAACTCCAGTCAAGGCCGCTACAATTAGGAACGAGCTTGGTGTCACCGGGGGAAAGCGCAGCGGTCACATTACGGGTAAGACATAGAACCTAAAATCTGTCCCAAACCCGCAAGTAGGCGGGCCCGTGACCCGATTCCCGAGCTGAGGGGGTCAGCGTGGCCCCGGCTCTCCCGCGCCCGGCCCAGCCGCACTCACAATGTGTCCAGCAGAAGCTTAGCGGCACCCTCGAAGGTGAGCTTCTGCCGCTTCTGGAACGTCTCCCAGCGCTCCCTCTGGTCACCCAGGTCCAACGTGGCCACCGAGGACGTGGTAGTCACCGGGGTCGGAGGCGGTGGCGGCCGCGGCAGCAGCGCGGGCTCCGGTTCCCCGGTATCCGCCTCCTGGGCCAGCGGCGACGACAGCCTCGGCCGCTGCTTCGCCGACGGCTTCCAACTCGCCGCCAGGCTCCTGTTCTCCACTTGGCCCGTGGGACGCCGTGTGCGGGTGGCGCCGGGAGCCGAGGCGGCGGCGGCGGCGGGAGCCCTTGAGGCCCCAGGCCGCTTCTGCCTGCGCTGCTCCGAGGACGCGTTGCTCCTTGTCTGCCGCATGGCTCCCGCAGCCCCGCGCTTAGGCCTCACCGCCCGCGCGTCCTCGCTGCCCCGCGCGCTCCCTTACCCTCAGACCAACCTGCACGCCCAGGGGGCGCTGCGCCCGCCAGCCCCGGCCCTGGCCTCCGGCTTCAGCCCTGGTCCTTGGCTTGCCTCACCTGACTCCTCCCCACCGGCTGCGCACTAAACTGAGTCTCAGTTCGCCCCCTCGCCTGCCTCCGGGCCTGCACCTGCCAGCTGTATCATGCAGTCCAAACAAGACCGCGCTTCAGGCCTCCGCCCCGGACACCCAGAGCCTGTTTGCACCAGCAGAGGTGCCTCCGTCTCTTCTGAATCCGGAGGGCTGTTTCTTTCCTTCTTGACCTAGGGGGTCGTGGATCAGCCCTGAAATCACAGCCACATCCCAGCCGGGAACCCGCGGTAACTTCGACTCCAAGAGTCGCACACTTATCTGGAGCTAGTGTGCACCTGAAATGAACGAATGTGTGTAAATGGCCTGGCACCAGCTACCTGCTGGACAAAGAGCAGCCGAAACCACAATTCTTAAACTTGTCTTTCCCACTTTACATAAAGCTCTGTGTGCGTGTGTTTTGCAATTTATTAATTCTAAAAAAAAAAAACCTGTTTACCATGGACAACAGTTTTTTTAGAATTAATGAATGAATGAAACCCTGACTAAATTACGTGATTATGGTTTTGTTGAACACAACACCAAAGTCTGAAGCCAAAAATCGCAAGAACCAGTGATGAAACCTAGATATTTTACACATATATTCAAAGAAATGACATTTTCTCTAACTCATTCTCCTTTTTTGTTTTCTATTTTTTAAATGCCAACTTTCTTCCTTATTCTGTTTTTGTTTATCTTTAGTTTAATAGTTTACTGAGTTAAATACATAATTCCTTTATTTTCAGTGTTCTTAGTAATAAAAATATTAATAACTATAAATTTTCCTCTAAGTATAGCTTTAGCTGTATCCATTAGGATTTTATATGGTGTTCTCTAAGAATTTTCTAGATAAGCTGTCTTAATTACTTTCTTAATTACTCAATCATGAAATCAGAGTTGTCCAAATTTGTTCTTCAAGATTATTTTTGTCCTTCTAAGTCCTGTGCATTTCCATATAAAGTATGGAGTCAGATATTAACTTCTACAAAGCAGCCTGCTTGATATCAACCATACTTCTCACGCCCTCTAATTTAATATTCCTAAGTTCATCCCTTTAATTTTTGTTTTTGCCATACCAATAGTTTTTTCTAAAGGAAATGTTTTAAATTTAAAAAGAGAGGTTTAGAAGAACAAAGAGAAAAACAAAAATAAATAATAACTGAAAACCACAAAAAGTAAAATAAAAATAAAAAATTAAAAGGGAAAAAAATAAATGAAAGAAATGTAAAAAGATTCACAATAATGATTATTTCTCAGCTCTATGAGATTTGAAACATAATTATAAAAGGCTAAAACCAAAGGATTCACTCCTACATTTTTCTTTTTTAAAAAATCCAGATGGTTTGTCACATCAAGAAAGTTCAGCCCTGACTGCTATGGCTCAATTGGTTGTGCCTAGTCTGGCCAAGAGAAAGGTCATGGATTGGTTTCCTGGTCAGGGCAGTCCATGCCTGGGTTTTGAGTTAAGTTCCCCAGTCTGCTTTCTCTCTCTATCTCCCTCCCTTCCCCTCTCTCTAAAAATAAATAAATAAAATCTAGGAAGAGAGAGAGTAGGGAAGAAGGAAAGAAGGAAGGAAGGAAGGAAGGAAGGAAGGAAGGAAGGAAGGAAGGAAGGAAGGAAGGAAGGAAGGAAGGAAGGAAGGAAGGAAGGAAGGAAGGAAGGAAGGAAGGGGAGGAAAGGGAGAAAGGAAGGAAGGGAGGAAGGAAGGAAGGAAGGAAGGAAGGAAGGAAGGAAGGAAGGAAGGAAGGAAGGAAGGAAGGAAAGGAGGGAGAAAGGGAAAGTTCAGGCTCTGGCCAGGTAGCCGAGTTCATTAGAGCATGGCCCCCATAAAGCCAAGGTTGCAGGTTCCAACCCCCAGGGCATGTATAAGCATTAACCAATCAATGCATAAATAAGTGGAACAACAACAAATTGATGTCCCTCTCTCTCTCTCCCCCACCTTCCTCTCACTCTCTAAAATCAATAAATAAAAAATAATAAATAAATAAATCTTTAGAGGAAAAAATGTTACTGTGGCCACAGCCTTAGTTGTTCTCTGAATCACTGCCCTTCCTCATGGTATGATCACCCCACCAAGGACGGAAACGTGTTCAGTTGGTGTCTTAGGGTTATCCTGCACATCTATCTTGATTGCTCTATACTCAGGTAATTCCCATTCGAACCCATCTATTGTCAGGTTCATGTCAGCAAACACCAGAGGTCCAATAAATTGAGCCTGGTATCACCTTCAAGGTAAACAAATATTGTGGGGAGATTTCTACCAGGATAATTGGGTATGTTGGTTGTTGAAATGGCTTTGATAAATTTGATCTCAGGAAACTTTCTGGCAAGTCCACTGAAGTGCTGATTGATCAGCGTGCAGAAGGGAATCCCTTGTTTGTAAAGGTTCAAGATCACACGGAAGCCCTCTCCAGCTTTGGTAACTTCCTGAACACAGTCCTTTCCTGAAATCTGCAAAACTTTTCCAAATTCGTTCTTCACTTCAGTTGCTTTCCATTCAGCCAGTCTCTGCTGCCTGTACATTTCAATAGCTCGTTGTTCTTTCTCATTAAATTCGTCTTCTCTATCCTCCAGTTCTTCAAAAGTCGTATCATGGTTTTCAGAACTGACTGGTGAAGGACTAGTTGCTCCTCCTCTTTTGCCTTCTTTTCCAGTTCGTTTAAACTTTCCTTCGTGGGCAAGATGCCCCTTTAGCGTAAGATGTCATTCCACTCACTGTCTGCCTTGGGGTCCTGAATTTTGTCTCAAATAGCTCGAACCAGCCTGGCCAGGGCAAGCCCCTCTCCACTCCCCTTAACCCGACCCCCTGCACGAGCTCTCTTTTGCGCATGCCCCCATGTCTGTCTGTCTTCTTTCCCTCCCTCCCTCCCTCCCTCCCTCCCTCCCTCCCTCCCTCCCTCCCTCCCTCCCTCCCTCCCTCCCTCCCTCCCTTCCTTCCTTCCTTCCTTCTCTCCTTCTTTTTCTTCCTTCCTTCCTTTCCTTCCTTCCTTTTCCTTCCTTCTTTCCTTCTCTTTCTTTCTTTCTTCTCTTTCTTTCTTTCTTTCTTTCTTTCTTTCTTTCTTTCTTTCTTTCTTTCTTTCTTTCTTTCTTTCTTTCTTTCTTCCTCCCTTCCTTCCTTCTTTCTTTCCTTTCTCTTTCTTTTTCTTTTTCTTTCTTTCTTTCTTTCTTTATTCATTCTTTCACTCCTCCTCAGAGTTAGACCAACTAATGTTTTTCATATTACTCTAGTAACTATTTGATTGAATCAAGTCAACTTAATTCCTAGAATCATACTGTTTAGGCACATATCTTTTTAATTGCCTGCTAGGGTTTGGGGTGTGCAATAACTTGATTCAGCTGTTTTCTTCCCTTCAAGTCAATTTAACAGTATATCTTTAAGATAAAATTCTAATTCATGTTTTTCATTTCTAAATCAGGCTGAACTTTATTTAGACTGAAGTGTTTTTACATATACGCACAACTTCACAATCACCACCCAGATCAAAACAGAACATTTCTAGCATCATAAAAGGGTCCTTTGTCCTCCTCCCAGTCAGCCCTCTGCATGGGTGACCACTCTTGCTTCACCACCATGGTTTTGAACTTCCTATAAGTGCACCTATATAATATGTACTCTTGTGTATAACTTATTTTACTCAGTGTCAGGTCTGTGAGTTTCATCCATGTTGTTCATGGATGATAAATGTACCTATGGTTCATTTGTTTTCACTGATGTGTAGTATTTCAGTATATGAATATAGTACATTTTATTTATTCTTTCTATTGTTGAAGGACATTTAGAGTGTTTTCAGTTTGGGGCTAGTATAATAAGAGTGCTATGACTTTTTTTAATCAACCATTTTATTTTCCTCAAGATTTTGTGTGACAGGAAACAAGGAAGAACTTGGCTGGACAGTTCTTGCTTTTGGTCTTTCATGCAATTTCACAGCAATGTCACTGAGACCACGGTCATATGAAGGTGGCGAGGGGCTGGCCCTCTAAGATGGCTTCCTTTCCATGGCAACAGTTGATATGACTGATAGCTGAGGAACCCATTGGACCCTCAACTGGATTACTACCCCAAGCCTCTCCATATGGATTGACTTCCTTGGGTAACCTCAGAGAATTTGGATTTTTTAAAAAATAATTGGCAGCTCAGAGTGCCAAAAATGAGAAACCTACTCTACAAGATAAAAATTTTGCCATTGCAAGGTTTTGTTGTTGGATATTTTTTCTTATAAAAATTTTAAAATCTAGCTTTGTGCAGTATCGTAGCCAATGAGGTTTATCCGAGGCACGATTATTGCTAATTGAAAACTTTTCCCAATACCCCATCATGATGACTTGAAATATAGTCGGCACTGGCAATTTTTTATGGTCTCTATAGATACTGAATACTTTGGTTTAAGAAAAAAAACAAACAAAAAATTTTAAATGTGCTGGGATTTGGGCTTGAAGTTGCATTGAATCTGTAGATCAACACAGAACTGACTTTTTAACAGTATTACATTTTCCAATCTATAAATATCTCTCCATTTATGAAATCCTATTTAATTTTTCCCAGCAATGTTTTGTAATAAATTTAACATATCTTTTGTTATCCTTAAATATTTAATGTTTTGTTGCTAAAATGGTATTTTAAATTTTTTTTTTCACTTGTTTGTTGCTAATACATAGAAAACAATTGGGTTTTTTTTGTATATTGACCTTATACCCACTGACCTTGCTAAATTCACTTTTTTGTCCTAATAATTTTGATTTCCTCTTAAATTGGCATGTTAGAGTGTTTCCTAATTTCCAAGCAAATAAAAAAAATCTTTTGGTAGTGATTTCTAATTTTATTGGGCTATGTCTGGTGTAAAACATCAACGACTCCTACATTGTCTTCATAGATTATATATAATAATGAATTTAACTACAAGTATATAAAGGATATATTTTACATTATACATAAACAATAATATTATGTTTTTATATAGAATGGCCTTTTAGCACTTTTTAATGTATCTGGCCTTGATTTCAACTTTATTTTATGACAATACCTCATTCCTGCTTTCTCTTTGTATTTATATAACCTATAGCTACCTCTAGCCCTTTGTTTTCATTTCTTCTTTAACTTCCAAATGCAAACGATTAATAGGTGGATTTTTAATACCTCAATATATCTTTTTGTTTTTAAACAGGGGAATTTAGCTCTTTTGCAATTATTAGACTGGAATCTTTCTGTTTTTGTCTGCCCATTCATTTATGTTTATTTTCTACTTTACCTTGATGTTGGTTCTTTTTCTTTGTATTAGCTTAGGAAAGTTTCTCTTCACTCCTTTGTTGCCCTCCTGTTAATTCTGAAGTTTTAATTTGTCTCCATAATGCTCGTGTTTTTCCTCCCATACCTAGTAGTTATGAGGAAACCTGTATTCTTCTAGTAATATTTCAAAATTGACCAATAAACATGTTTACCAAAACATTTCACCTACTCACACACCTATCCCTTCAGCGAGATGAAAATTTTAGAAATTGTTATTTTACTTCCCCACTTTCCCGTAGACCCCCACACCCAACTCCTCTGAAGCATATCTTCTATATGAAGTCTCCTTCCTGAACATTTACACCATGTATTCCTTTTTTTAAAGATTTTATTTAATTTTAATATATTTTATTGATTATGCTATTACACTTGTCCCATTTGCCCCCATTTCATTCCCCTCCACCCTGCACACCCTCTACCACCCACACTCCCCCTTTAGTTTATGTTCATGTGTCTTAAGTTCTTTAGCTTTTACATTTCCCATACTATTTCTGCCCTCCCCCTATTTTCTACCTACCATCTATGCTACTTATTCTCTGTACCTTTTCCTTCTCTCTCCTCCTCCCACTCCCCTGTTACTAACCCTCCATGTGATCTCCATTTCTGTGATTCTGTTCCTGTTCTAATTGTTTCCTTAGTTTGTTTTTGTTTTAGGTGTGGTTGTGAATAACTGTGAGTTTGCTGTCATTTCAATATACATGTATTTTATCTTCTTTTTCTTAGATAAGTCCCTGTAACATTTCATAAAATAAGGGCTCGGTGATGATGAACTCCTTGAACTTGACCTTATCTGAGAAGCACTTTATCTGCCCTTCCATTCTAAATGAAAGCTTAGCTGTCGAGACCAACCTTGAATGTAGGTTCTTGTCTTTCATGACTTGAAATACTTTTTTCCAGCCCCTTCTTGCCTGCAAGGTCTCTTTTGAGAAATCAGCTGACAGTCTGATGGGAACTCCTTTGTAGGTGACTGTCCCCTTATCTCTTGTTGCTTGTAAGATTCTCTCCTTCATTTGAATCTTGGCTAATGTAATTATGATGTGCCTTGGTGTGTTCCTCCTTGGGTCCACCTTCTTTGGGACTCTGAGCTTCCTGGACTTCCTGGAAGTCTATTTTTTTTGCCAGATCGGAGAAGTTCTCTTTTATTATTTGTCCAAATAACTTTTCTACGTGTTGCTCTTCCTCTTCCCCTTCTGGTACCCCTATATTTTGGATGTTGGAATGTTTAAAGATGTCCTGGAGGTTTCTAAGCCTCTCCTTCTTTTTTTGAATTCTTGTTTCTTCATTCTTTTCTGTTTGGTTGTTTCTTTCTTCCTTCTGGTCCATTCCAATGATTTGAGTCCCAGTTTTCTTCCCATTATTATTGGTTTTTTGTGCATTTCTTTTCATTTCACTTAGCGTAGCCTTCATTTTTTTTATGTAATTTGCGACCAAATTCAACTAATTCTGTGAGCATCCTGATCACCAGTGCTTTGAACTGAGCATCTGATAGGTTGGCTATCTCTTGGTTGCTTAATTCTATTGTTTCTGGAGCTTTGATCTGTTCTTCCTTTTCAGCCTTTTTTTTTTTTTGTCTTGTCGTGCCTGTTATGTAGTAACGGGCAGTGCCTTAGGTGTTCACCAAGGCTGGTCAACCCAGTCACTAGGTTGTGATGCTGTGTATGGGGGCGGGGTCCCAGAGGGATCAATGGTGCTTGCTCTGCTCTCTGTAGGGCCTCAGTCCCTTCAGCTGCTTCCCCCAAGCAAACTGGGCCTTTGTGGTGCTAATTCCTGTGTGGATGAGCTTGTGTGTGTTCTAGGACTCTGTGGGTCTCTCCATCAAACTCTCCTGTGAGGTTGGGAGTCTCTCCCTGTGCCTCAACCCCCACAGGCATTTTCAATCAGTGTTTTGAGGCTTTATTTCCTGGTGCTTGGACCCTGGGTTGCACGGTCTGTCTCTCTCCCCAGTTATCTGCGTGCAAATGTGGGACCACTGCCGGGTCAGCCAGCTGCCTTGCACACAGTACCCTGCTTCTCAGTTGCCACCTCTCTGAGTCTGCCCATTACCAGCCTGTGCCCAGGATCTGCCAGCCACTGTCTGTGCACACAGGGTCCACCCACTGTGTCTTGCGCACCCGGGGTGCTTTGTGCACCCAGTGTTGCTGCTTCCTATGCTGAGACCCTTCTCCGCTCAGCCTCCCAACTCCACCCCACCTACTGGTCTGGTTGAATGTGTCTATTTCAGCTCCTTGGCTGTTCAACTTCCACACAGTTCAATTTTCTGTCAGTTCTGGTTATTTTGTTTCTAAATTTTTGTTGTCCTTATTTTGGTTGTGGGAGGAGGCACAGTGTGTCTACCTATGCCTCCATCTTGGCCAGAAGTCCAGATTTTATTTATTTTTCAAGAGAGGGGAAAGGAGGGAGAAAGAGAGGAAGAAAACATTGATGTGACAGAGAAATATCTATCAGTTGCCTCTTGCACGCCCCCAACTAGAGACTACGCCCACAACCTAGGCATATACCCTGACTGGGAATCGAACCTGTGACCTTTAGATTTGCTCGATGATGCTCAACCCACTGAGATACACCAACCAGGGCTATACCGTGTATTTCTTATTTCATTAGTGTCATAACCATACTTGTCAGCTCCAAAAGTTGCTGCTGAGCCTGGCGCTCAAAATGTTTATTGAATTTAGACATAAATATATGTATTAGAAGGTAAGTTATCCACAACAAGCACTTTACTCTTCATCTACCCAATACTGAAACCTTTTTTTCTATAGTATAATTATCAATAGATTAAAGATGTCTGAATTTTTTCCTCAGCTAGGATCCATGGGCAATATATAAGCCCTGGAGTGTCTATAATTTTTTCTTTTGCTCTGGAAAATGAATGACATTTTGTCTGGTAATAGGATTGTTGGCTATTAGTTGCAGTTTCTCTCTTCAGTTTGTAGCTATTGTTCTACTGTCTTCCAGTTTCATTGTAGCAAATGGGAACTCTAATGCTAGTTTTATTTACTTTGCTCTTTAAACATAGTCTCCTCTTTGTCCTGGCCTAGTAACTCAGTTGGTTGGAGTGTTGTCTCATACACCAAAAGGTTGTGGGTTCAATTTCCAGTCAAGGCACATGCCTGGGTTGAGAGTTCAATCCCTATCGGAACATGTATGGGAAGCAATCAATGGATGTTTCTCTCTCACATCGACATTTCTCCCTGTCTCTCTCAAATCAATAAACATACCCTCTGGTGAGGGTGTAAAAAAAAAATGCGTCCCCTGGCTGGTGTGGCTCAGTGGATTGAGTGCAGGCCTACAAACCAAAGGGTCACAGGTTTGATTCCCAGTCAGGGCACATGCCTGGGTTGCAGGCCAGGTCTTCATTTGCAGGTGCATGAGAGGCAACCACACACCGATGGTTCTCTCCCTCTCTTTTTCCGTCCCTTCCCCTCTCTCTAAAAATAAATAAATAAAATCTTTTTAAAAAGGATTCTCTTCCTATCTTTAATGTTGGGTTATTTAATTATGATGTGTCTTGACACCAAGACAGATTTCTCCTTGGATCCAACTTCTTTGGGACTCTCTAAGCTTCCTGAACTTCCATGTCTATTTCTTTTGCCAGATTGGGGAAGTTTTCCTTCATTATTTTTTCAAGTAAGTTTTCCATTTCTTGCCCTTCCTCTTTTCCTTTTTGCACCTCTGTAATTCGGATGTTGGAATGTTTAAAGTTGTTCCAGATGTTCCTAAGCCTCTCCTCAATTTTTTGAATTCTTGTTTCTTCCTTCTGTTCCAGCTGAATGTTTATTTCTCCCTTCTGTTCCAAATCGTTGATTTGAATCCTGGTTCCTTTCTCTTCACTGTTGGTTCCTTGTGTATTTTTTATTTCACTTTGTGTAGCCTTCACTTCTTCCTTTATTTTATGACCATACTCAATCATTTCTGTGAACATCCTGATTTCCAGTGTTTTGAACTCTGCATCTGATAGGTTAGCTATCTCCTAGTCACTTAGTTCTTTTTCTGGAGTTTTGATTTGTTCTTTCATTTGGGTGATATTTTCTTGTCTCAGCACACCAGCCTGGATGAGTGTTTCTTTTTTAAGTCTGTGGTTGTCAGACTTCCATACAGTTCAATTTTCTGGCAACTCTGGTTGTTTTTGTTTTTAAATTTGCTATTATCCTTCTTTTGGTTGTGCAAGGAAGCAAAGCATATCTACCTATGCCTTCAATCTAGGCTGAAACTATAAAGGGAACAATTCTTTATCATTTGTACAGTATGTATATATAATATAGCAGCAAATTTACATTACAAAAGCCCTCCCATGAAAATCAAAAGTGGGCGTTTTTGTACCTAGAGGAGTCAAATTCATAGAGATGGAAGTAGAATGGTGATTGCCAGGGCCTGGGGAAAGGGAAATGCGGAGTTAGTGTTTAATGGGTACTGAGTTTCAGTTTGAGAAGATGAGAAAGAGTTCTGGAGATGGATGTTGGTGACGGTGCACAGTAATATCAATGTCCTTAATGCCATTGAACTGAACAATTAAAAATGACAACAGTAATATATTTTATGTTATGTAAATTTTACCATGATTTTTAAAAAATTTAAGTAAGTATTTGGTTCCAGTTAAGGCCCCTAAAACTGACATGATGAGGTCTCTGGTGACTCAGGATGTGGACAAATAGATTAGTATGCAATGTGCTCATAGAGGAACAAATGCAATACTTGACTCTAAAAGGAAAACACAAAAACCCTAGCAAATCTGTACAGGATTTTAAGAAAATGGAATCCGAAAACAGTATAGTGTGTCCAATTTGCTTTTTGATCCATTTGAAATATGGTGTTGGAAAAGAGCTCTACAGATCATCTGGGCCACCCAAAAGGTAAAAAATTGGGTGGGTCTGTCACCAGACCAATTCTGTGTCCTGCCCAGGCATGGTGAGGGGACCTCCATGCTCTTGACTCACGCGGGAAAATTTTTGAGAATGAGTCCAAATGACAGTGAAAGCAAGTTTTATTCAGGTAGAGAAAAAGAGGCTAGGATGCACTAGTGTGAAAGAAGCAGAAATACATGTTGGAGTAGATGCAGGCAAACTCGTGAGGTGCACATTGCATCAGTCAATTCTTAGGGTTTTATGCGTTTCCAAGGGTATCCTTTCTCTACTTTGTGGTGCCAGATTCTGACTCCACCTGCTGGTTGGTGGAAGGGCTCTTTTTCCTAATATGGTTTGCTCAAGAAGTGTCATGGCTATAGACCCCCTTGGCCTTCTTCTACTTGTGGTGTTAGTTTTGATTATAATGATGGTATAATGAGCTTTGGGGTCTGTCTCTGGTCAATTTTTCCTCCATCTTGGATTGATCTGGTTTTAGCCAGTCCTAGTGGTTGTTGACTTCGGGACCACTGCAGGGGTTTTCCTGCCACGAGCTGTTTCCCTTTGATCATGCTCAAAGATGGGGGCTCTGGTGAGAGGACCTACCTGGCTTACTGGCCTGAGATGCCCACTCCTTCCTCATTCCACTTGCTGGGAGTTTTTCTTAATTTCTTTCTATTCTGCCTCAGGTCCTAGAGTAGATTCAACCTGAAACATTGCTGGAGACAAAAATGACCAAACTAGACCTGACCAGGTAGTTCAATTGGTTAGAGCACTATCTTGATACACCAAGGTTGTGGGTTTGATGCTTAGTCAGGGTGCATACAGAAACCAACCAATGAATGCCGCGGACCAGCCTCGCCAGGAGAGGGGAGGGGGTGGAAATGAGTCAAGGACGCAGGGAGTCAGGTTGGAGAGGTCTCAGCATCCCGCTGAGCCGAGCCCCGAACTCCGTTTATTCAAGGCTTTTATTACAATTATGGGGAATAAGCAGGGAGGGGGGCCGCACCCAAGCCAGTTTCTTTGTCCTTTCTGCAAAGCTACTCCACGGAACAACAGGGGAACACAGGGTGCTATCAAAACTTCCCTGTTTATCAAGCACCGGTGCATGACCTACCCTTCTACAGGGAAACAGGCTGTCTAGCTTATGCTAATAAGTTCTTGGGAAACCTATTATCTACCCACAGCAGGTTCCAGGCAGGGAGCCAAGCAAGGTGGAGAGGAACTGTGCCACAGGCCGCGGCCTTGCCAGCTGGTCCTGGCCCCCCCCCCCCCCGGCTTTGCCAAGGGGGGCTTGTGGCGCATCTCCACAAGCAGTGGCTATGCCGGCTGGTCCTGACCCCCTGGCTTTGCCATGGGGGGCTAGTGGCGCCCACAAATGAATGCATGAACAGCCCTGGCTGGCGTGGCTCAGTTGCAGCTTCATCCCGTAAACTGGAGGGTCTTGGTTTTGATTCTCAGTCAAGGTACATGCCTAGGTTGCAGGTTTGGTCCCTGGTCAGGGTGTGTATGAGAGGCAACTGATTGATGTTTCTCTCTCCCACTGATATTTCTCTCCCCCTTTCTCCCTCCCTTCCCTTCTCTGTAAAGTCAATGAACATGTCCTCTGATGAATATTTTTTAAAAAATAGTAAGTGGAACAACTAATCGATGTTTCTCTCTCTCTCTCTTTCTCTCTCTCTCCCCCTCCCCTTCCTTTCTCTCTTTTTTGAATAAGTAAATAAAAATTATTTTTTGTAATGACCAAACTGAAGCTGTCCTACTTTGGGCACATCAGGAGAAGGCAGGGCTCTTTGGAAAGGACAACAATGCCTGGAGAGCAGAAGGCAGCAGGAAAAGAGGAAGACCAAATAAATATGTGACAGACTGACTCCATAACAGAGGCCAAGGCATGAGTCTACAGGAGCTGAGCAGAGCTGCTAAGGACAGGACATTGTGGACATCACTCACTCACAGAATTGCCAGAAGCTGGAGCCAACTCCACTGCATGCAAGACAAAGCACTGTATGTAAGTTACCATGTTTTGGGACAGGACTGCTAGAAATATGAAAGCATAAGAGAGGAAACAATGAAGGCTTCCTATGTAAATGTGCTTTTCAGATAGGATTTTTCTCTGCTTGAGATGCATAGTACTTGGTACTGCTCCCAACAGACAGAATTCTGTTTAGCTCCTGGGCGTGTGCAGAGTCCAAATCGACCACCAGGGGGCAGGAGCCCTGGTGTCATACAGATCCTTGTGGGAGCAGCAACCAGCTCAAGCTCTTCAAGGCACCATTTTGTACGCTACAGCTTGAGAGGCCTACAGAAACTCCAGCTACTTCTAAGTGGGAAAAGCATTTGACAGAGGTCAGGGTGGACTGGCCTCCCTGTCCACAGGAGGTGCCTCCAAATTTCTCTGCTCATGTGAAAGGCCTGATTTCTCCCCCTGTTGATATAATTTATCTTAATACCAATATCACTACCACCAACAGGCTGGGGGTTAATTCTGTTTTTTGAGCATTTGTAGAGGCACCATTAACTTTTGTCACTAATTTTAATATAGTGGAATTTATGAAAGATTTACTAGCCCTGCTGGTGTAGCTTAGCGGATTGAACATGGACCTATAAAGCAAAGGGTGGCTGGTTCAATTCCTAGTCAGGGCACATGCCTGGGTTGTGGGCCAGGTCCCCAGTGCGGGACACATAAGAGGCAACCACACATTGATGTTTCTCTCTTCCCACTCTTTCTCCTTCCCTTCCTGTCTCAGCACAAACCTTTTTACTTTGGTCATAAAAATATTTGCCTACATTTTCTTCTAAAAAATACAAAGTTTTGGCTTTGAAATTTTAGACTTGAATCCACCCAGAATTTAGTTTTGGGCATGGTACAGAGTAGAGATCTATTTTGACTTTTTAATAACTGTCCAGGGACCATAGACCCTCCTTTCCCCACTCTTTATATATTAGATTTTCATACATACATGGCTCATTCTCTGAGCTCTCTACTGTTTCATTAATCCCAAGCCAACCACATTATCTTAATTACTATAATTTTATAATGTAATAAACCCTTGATGTTTTGTTCTTTCAGGAGTGTCCTGTCTGTTCTTGGCCCTTGGCACTTTCATATAAATTTCAGATTTGCTTTTCAAGTTCTCCATATAATCCTGTTAAAATTTTGATTGACAGTTGTTGCTCTTACCTAAAATGGCACGGAGGGCGAGCGAAGCTGCCGGCTCTCAGGGTTTCTGCTTCTGCCACAAGGACAGGGGCTGCCATCAAGAGGACCAAGAAGGCCTCCAGCTGATGCCCAGGTCCTCCCCTGCCCCAGTCTCCTCCTGTTCACTGCCCTGCCAGGGCTCCCTGGGTCATTAATATCTACCAGGGTTTACAATCTTTTGGCATCTCTGGGTCACAATAGAAGAAGAGCTGTCTTGGACCACACATGAAATACACAAACACTAATGAAAACTGATGAGTAAATAAATGGTTTTAAGTAAATTTACAATTTTGTGTTGGGCCGCATTCATTACCATCCTGGGCCCATGGGGCATGTGGGCCACAGGTTGGACACCCCTGTTTCTAGACAGTCTGTCAATGCCCCCAAACAGGGCCTTCTCTCCCAGGCTGCCCATGGGAGGGGCACAGACCGGCCTTCCCAACAGCGCCCTCACAGCCCTCTGCAGGTATCAGTTAGATATCAAGAAGCACTTGGGCAACCAGAGGTCACAGCTCTGAGTGCCAAGAGTGTCTCTGGAGTCAATACAGAGAAATCAGGGAAGGGACGGAAAAGGAGCATGGTGCTAGAGGATCTCAAATTCTCTCCCCAGTTACCTGGCCTCTGCCCCCAGATGCCTTGTCCTACCCCTTCCAAATTAGGACTCTTTTGTCCTTGACATTTTATTCTTGTGTATGACCTCAATGCTTCCTGTGGTGGCTAAAGTTGCTATGTTCTTGTACTTGCTGAGGAAGAAATGGGACTGGGGGAGCTGTTCCACTGCACTCTACCCTGCTGAAATGCCACTGAGTGAAACTGCCACCTGCCCCATTCTTTTTCATTGGTCCTAGATAGCAGTGTGAGGAGCTCCTCGTTAACATGCTGGCTCACCCATACACTTCTCCCTTTTGTTGGCAATGAGCTTCTCCCCTGACACACACACACAGCACAAAAAATTTTAAAAATGTTTTGATTGGTGATTGGCATTAAATCCATAGATCAATTTGGATAAACTGATATCTATATGCTAAATACTATGCATGGCCCTGGATAACAGTGAACAAGACAGACAAGGGACCTTCCCATCAAAATTAAAATGAAATCTAACCTATTTACTATGGCCTTTGTAAACCATTCCACACATAAACTGCACTTCTCCCCACCCCCAGCTCATCCACACTGTCCCCTTTCTCTGTGCTCCAATCACACCATCTTTCACATTCCTAACTCCCCAAGCTCTCTTCCAGTTCTATTTTTGCTGGAATCTGTCTCCATACCCTGTGGGCGCCACTAGCCCCCCATGGCAAAGCCAGGGGGTCAGGACTAGCCGGCATAGCCACTGCTTGTGGAGATGCGCCACAAGCCCCCCTTGGCAAAGCCGGGGGCGGGGGGGGGGGGCCAGGACCAGCTGGCAAGGCCGCGGCCTGTGGCACAGTTCCTCTCCACCTTGCTTGGCTCCCTGCCTGGAACCTGCTGTGGGTAGATAATAGGTTTCCCAAGAACTTATTAGCATAAGCTAGACAGCCTGTTTCCCTGTAGAAGGGTAGGTCATGCACCGGTGCTTGATAAACAGGGAAGTTTTGATAGCACCCTGTGTTCCCCTGTTGTTCCGTGGAGTAGCTTTGCAGAAAGGACAAAGAAACTAGCTTGGGTGCGGCCCCCTCCTGCTTATTCCCCATAATTGTAATAAAAGCCTTGAATAAACGGAGTTCGGGGCTCGGCTCAGCGGGATGCTGAGACCTCTCCAACCTGACTCCCTGCGTCCTTGACTCATTTCCACCCCCTCCCCTCTCCTGGCGAGGCTGGTCCGCAGCAATACCCTGTTCTGTATTTGTATGCCAGGCTCCCTAACTTCAAGCAGGTCTTTGGTCAAATGTTCACCTTTTCAGGCAGGACATCATTCTATCTAAAATAGCTACAACAGCCCTGGCTGATGTGGCTCAGTGGGTACAGCAACAGCCTACGAACCATAGGGTCATCGATTCAATTCCCAGTCAGGGGAATCAAACATGCCTGAGTTGTGGGTCAGGTCTCCAGGAGGGTGCATGAGAGACAACCACAATTAATGTTTCTCTTCCTCTCTCTCTCTCAACTTCCTTCCCCTGTAAAAGTAAATAAAGTCTTTAAGAAATTACTTTAAAAAAACAGGTGCAACACATCTCTCTCATCTTTGCTTTACTTTTCTCCATAGCACTCATCATTATCTAACATATAAAGTTTGTTTCTGTTTTTGTCTCTCTACTAGAAAATAAGCTCCAGGAACCAGAAATTCTGTCTTGCTTCTTGTTATGTCCTCAGGGCCTTGATTTATGCATGTAACACAGTAGGCACGTAATGAATTGGTTGAATGAAAGAAGCAAAACCAAACAAATGATAGAGAGGCTTGAAAAAAGCCAGCCGAGATCTCTGAGTTGGTAAATGTAGTCACAGCTGTCTAAGTCCTAGAAATATTTGGCTAATGCTTAAGCATTATAATAAAAACTCCATTCAGGAGTGCTCTGAGCGAAGCCAGGTGCTGGCTAACAGTGACCACGTCGATTCTGAAGAGAAAGCAAGATGACCGGCTCTAACGAGTTCGAGCTGAACCAGCCACCTGAAGACACCATCTCTTCAGTGAAGGTCAGTCCCAACACCTCCCAGTTCCTGCTGATCTCCTCCTGGGACACGACGGTGCGCCTCTACGATTTGCCAGCCAACTCCATGTGGCTCAGGTACCAGCACGCAGGCGCCATCCTGGACTGTGCCTTCTAAGATCCAACACATGCCTGGAATGGGGGATTAGATCATCAGTTGACAATGCATGATTTCAACACTGATCAAGAAAATCTTGTTGGAACCCATGATGCCCCTATCCAATGTATTGAACACTGTCCAGAAGTTAATGTGATGGTTACTGGGAGCTGGGATCAGACACTTAAATTGTGGGACCCCAGGACTCCTTGTAATGCTGGGACCTTCTTGTAGCCTGAAAAGGTGTATACCCTTTCAGTGTCTGGAGACAGGATGATTGTGGGCACTGCGGGATGCAGAGTGTTGGTGTAGGATCTGTGGAACATGGGCTATGTGCAGCAGTGCCGGGAGTCCAGCCTGAAGTACCAGACTCGCTGCATTCCAGCATTTCAAAACAAGCAGGGTTATGTACTGAGCTCTATTGAAGGCCGAGTGGCAGTTGAATACTTGGACCCAAGCACTGAGGTAAAGAAGAAGTATGCTTTCAAGTATCACAGACTAAAAGAAAATAACATTGAGCAGATTTACCCAGTCAATGCCATTTCCTTTCACAACATCCACAATACATTTGCCACAGGTGGTTCTGATGTATTTGTAAATATCTGGGATCCATTTAACAAAAAGCGACTGTGCCAGTTCCATTAGTACCCCACCAGCATCTCATCGCTTGCCTTCAGTAACGATGGGACCATGCTTGCAATAGCATCATCATATATGTATGAAACAAATGACATAGAACATCCTGAAGATGGTACCTTCATTCACCAAGTGACAGATGCAGAAACAAAACCCAAGTCACCGTGTACTTAACAAGATTCCATTTAGGGTGACTTCCGCCAAGATGGAGACATAGGTGGAGGAACCACCATGCCTCTGTGCACAACCAAATCTAAGAACAACTATTTTTAACAACAATCACAACCAAGCCACACGGAAAATCGACAATACGGAGCCCAAAGACAACTAAATGCTCAGCTAAACCGGTAAGAGAAGCGAAGCCAGCAGCGGAGCAGGTTAGCAAGGAAAAATTCCCGGGTGGTGCGCAGTGCAGCCGAAGGCGCTGATCTCGAGCTAGCTATGGGAGCGCACAGGGAAGAGGCGTGGCGGGCTGTCTGCGGTCCGTCAGTCACGCATCTGCGTGCGGAGAAACCAGTGAGAAGGGAAGCCTGCGCGGGGCAGCAGACTCGCACAATTCCCGATCCATCGGATAAACAACCCCGGGGCGAGTGGTGTGACTGGACGGGCTGGGCTAGCGGAGAGGACCGCCATTGCTCCCTCTCTGACCATGCCCCCACACACAGCGTCACAAACCAGCGACCTGGGTCGCCTCGTCCTGGTAAACAACTAAGGCTTCGCTCCGCTTACTTAACAGCACGAATAGACCAAAAATGGCTCTAGGACAACTCAGAGCCCCAGAACCGATAGATCTAAGCGATGAAGAAATAGCCAGTCTTTCAGATGCACAGTTCAAAACACTGGTTATCAGGATCCTTACAGAACTGGTTGATTTTAGTCACAAATTAGAGAAACATATGGAAGCTAAACTAATTGAAATGAATGGTAATACAAAGAAAACCAATAGTAATGGAAAGAAAATTGGGACTCAAATCAAGGGAGTGGACCAGAAGGAAGAAAAAAATGATCAAACAGAAAAGAATGAAGAAATAAGAATTCAGAAAAATGAGGAGAAGCTTGGGAACCTCCAGGACATCTTTAAACGTTCCAATGTCCGAATTATAGGGGTACCAGAAGGGGGAAAGGCACAGCCACCAGTGGAAAACTTATTTCAACAAATAATAAAGGAGAATTTCCCCAATCTGACAAAGGAAATAGACTTCCAGGAAATCCAGGAAGCTCAGAGAGTCCCAAAGAAGTTGGACCCAAGAAGGAACACACCAAGGCACATCATCATTACATTACCCAAGATTAAAATGAAGGAGAGCATCCTAGAAGCAGCAAGAGATAAGGGGACAGTCACCTACAAAGGAGTTCCCATCAGACTGTCAGCTGATTTCTCAAAAGAGACCTTACAGGCAAGAAGGGGCTGGAAAGAGGTATTCCAAGTCATGAAAACCAAAGACCTACAACCAAGATTGCTCTACCCAGCAAAGTTTTCATTTAGAATGGAAGGACAGATAAAGTGCTTCTCAGATAAGACCAAATTCAAGGAGTTCATCATCACCAAGCCCTTATTATATGAAATGTTAAAGGGACTTACCTAAGAAAAAGAAGATAAAAAAGGTGAACAGTGAAAGGACAGCAAACTCACAGTTAGTAACAACCACACCTAAAACAAAAGCAAACTAAGAGGACAGCTAGATCAGGAGCAGAACCATAGAAATGAAGATCTCATGGAGGGTTAGCAACAGGGGAGTGGGAGGAGGGGAAGGGGGGAGAAGGTACAGAAAATAAGTAGCATAGACAGTAAATAGAAAATAGATAGGGGGAGAGTAAGAATAGTAGGGGAAATACAGAATCTAAAGAATTTGAGACACGTGTTCATGAACTAAAGGGGGAAATGGT